GATGTGGGGAAAAGGGTACACTTGTACATTGCTGGTGGGACTGCAGATTGGTGCAGCCAATTTGGAAAGCAGTATGGAGAGTTCTTGGAAAGCTGGGAATGGAGCCACCATTTGACCCAGCTATTCCCCTTCTTGGTCTATTCCCTAAAGACCTAAAAAGAGCATGCTACAGGGACACTGCTACATCGATGTTCATAGCAGCACAGTTCACAATAGCAAGACTGTGGAACCAACCTAGATGCCCTTCAATAGACGAATGGATAAAAAAAATGTGGCATTTATACACAATGGAGTATTACTCTGCATTAAAAAATGACAAAATCATAGAATTTACAGGGAAATGGATGGCATTAGAGCAGATTATGCTAAGTGAAGCTAGCCAATCCCTAAAAAACAAATGCCAAATGTCTTCTTTGATATAAGGAAAGTAACTAAGAACAGAGTAGGGACGAAGAACAGGAGAAGAAGATTAACATTTAACAGGGATGAGAGGTGGGAGGGAAAGGGAGAGAGAAGGTAAATTGCACGGTAATGGAAGGAGACCCTCAGGGTTATACAGTGGAGGGGGTAGAGAGAGAGGAGGGGAGGGGAGGGGAGAGGTGGGGAGGGGGGAGGGTGGATGATGGGAAAGGCAGCGGAGCACAACAGACACTAGTATGGCAATTTGTAAATCAATGGATGTGTAACTGATGTGAATCTGCAATCTGTGTATGGGGTGAAGGTGGGAGTTCATAACCCACTAGAATCAAAGTGTGGAATATGATATGTCAAGAAATTTGTAATGTTTTGAACAACCCACAATAAAAAATTAAAAAAAAAAAAAAAAAAAAAACTAGGAAACTGATGTGTACATGAAGCTCATGCTGTCTGTTGTGTCATGAAGATAAAGTCCATTGTCTCTGAACCAGGAGTCTCATATCTTCTGCTAGCATGCATAAAACTGTGGAAGGCAGTATTTCATGACCTTGCAAGTAGGGTAAAATCTCAGACCCTTTATGGTTCTTGAGAGAGACATTTGCCAAGTACTTCTTTAAGCCTCCATTTTCTTAACTCTAATATATAAATGACAATATTAACCTCAAAGAAGTATAAAGATAAAGGAAATGGTACACATAAAGCCTTAGTACCTTGCTGAGGACATTATAAATCCTCATCAGATATTGAGAGCTGCACTTGATCACTATATTTCTTATTAGGTGAAGCCTTTCTAATTCAATATTTTTATTGGTTGGGTTGTATGTTAGGCAACTTTTTGTTACAGTGACAAAATGCCTGAGAATCAACTTGAGGTGAACATTTATTTTGGTTCATGGTTTGAGGTTAGCTGGCTTTATTGTTTTGGGGCCTGTGGTGAGATAGAACATCCTGGCAGAAGGGCATGAGAGAGCAAAGCTGCTTACTTCGTGGCTGGGAAGTAGACAGAGATATGGGGAGAAAGGATACACATTATCCAAGGGTATCCCCGCAATGGCTCATTCCCTTTAACTAGGTTCCACCTCTTAATGTTTCTACCATCTTCCAATGGTTGATTCAGCTATAAATCCATTAATGGATTAGCTCATTGATGAGGCTACAGCCCTCATGAGCCAATCAATTTCCAAGAGCCCACCTCTAATCTTTGTTGGATTGGAAACTAAGCTTTCAACACATAAACCTTTGGGGGACATTTCAGATCCAAATCATAACTGGTTGTGCGTGTGCATTGTGTGTATCTACTTCTTAGTGTCTACATGGCAGACTATATTAGATTTTTAAAAAAAGACTAAATATTTTAACCATTTTTATTACAAATATCAGATTGATTCATAGTTGAATCTGGTTACTGATTAAAAGTCCCACAACTGGATGATTCAGTCACCCTACACAGCCATTGCACTTTTTGTAGAGCTCTTTTTATTTTGGTAAAACAACATCTAATGACATTTTTAAATGACATCTGACCTTCCTTAAGATCTCTAGGAAATAATAAAAGTTCCAGGCAAATCACTTCAAAGATTATTTGCATGGAATGATAGAGAAGCATTTCATATCTATCACATCTATAATGTAAGATAAAGGCCACATACACACCAGTTAATCTCAATTTCTCTGGAAAACAAAGTTAAAAAATAGCATTCTCATCATTTATATTTCCAATAATTTTATAGATGTTTTTTGTTGTTAGTATGTGCCATATTTATGGTTTGTCCTTGTCACAGTCAGAGACAATTTTCTCCAGAAGGAAAAATAACACCAGGTTTTCTTGATTTGGAGAGTTCAATATAATAAAGATTTGGGCAGTCTTTTGTGCATTTGGAGGCCTGGATAATATTCACATTTTGTGTGACAGAGGAATTTAACATTCCTGTCATTGGTTATAAAGAAAGCATATTTAAACTGAACGCAGTTATGAGATGATTTGAAACTGTCTAGGAAAATGGATCCATTTGGGACTCTCTGATTATACCTCAGCTAGCCAGTTCATTTATGTGTGGGTAAGTCAAGAATGACATTCACAGAAACAAAACCCCAGAGCCGCTGCCTCTACTCAGATGTGATAAAGAGTGCTAGAGTTCATGCATTATTCTATTTCTGTTCTGAAACACTGATTTCCATTTCACTTGCAGGCTCAGTTCAGTTCTGGTTGTTTTGCAAATGTAACATGAGACCCAATAAATTCACTCCTAGGCCATCTGACTATCTTTTCTGAACTGGCAACTGCCTTGGGTTCCCCTTGGGTCAAACATGAGATTTATGGCTTGATGTTTATCTCTAGGAAATAGAAAACATTCAGAAATGTTGCCTAAAGGAATCAATTAAATTCTTGGTGTGCTGCAATCAGACATGGGGTATCCCTGTCTGGCCTGAGTTGAAAATTCTCTCGAAGCCTCAAATATTCTTTTGCTTTCTGTATATAGAAATGAAACCAAACCCACCGATAATGACAACTAATTAACTTTTTAAAAAATTTCGTCTTATTTATTTTTATAGAGGTAAATTATGTAGTATTATCACATTTTTAGTTTTGCAGAATTGTTTATTCTTGTTTTCCTTCAACATAGTTGTTCTGACAGCAGCTAAAAGCTCCTTTTTCTACCTCCTAATGGCTGAAGCTTTTTGGCTCTGAACGTAATTTTCCTAACCCCAATCCTTGCCTTCTTTCTGTACGTCCAGGCTCTACATGTTAGTCTTACTGCTCTGCTGCTAGTGTGGTATCTGCTGGTAACTCCCCCGCCAGGCCTAGAGCCTACCATCCCAGGGTTTCCCACAGTTCTTTGTGCATCCTCTACCTTCCCTCCAAAGTGTACCTCCATCTCGGTTTGCAGTTCCCCAACCTTACCCTAGGTTCATCTTTGTCTCAGTTAAATGGTTTCCATAGCCTCCGGAGACAGCTTTGGACAAATGGTGACTTCTTTTGAATCTTGATCTCTGGCCAAGGTCATGCTCAGGGATTTTGCCTTCGTATTCAATCTTTCAGTTTAGTCCCTATATTAATTTTTCTAGGACTTCCATAACAAAGTGCACAACAAACTGGGTGGCTTAAACAACAGCAACTCGTTGTCTCACAATTCTGGAGCCCAGAAGTCTTAAAAATCAAGATTTCGGCAGGGTCATACTCTCTTGAAGGTGGTAGGGAATGATCTGTTCAAGCCCCTCTTATAGCTTCTGACAGCCTCAGGAGTTCTTGGCTTGTAGATGGACATCTTCTCCTTGTCTCTTCATATCATCTTTCCTCTGTGTGGGTCTGCTTGTGTTCAGATTTCCCTTTTTTATAAGGACACTGCCATTTTGATTAAGGCCCATACTAATGGTCTTGTTTTAACTTGATCACCAGCAAACTCCATTACCAAATAAGGTCAAATTTATAGGTACTGGGGGTTAGGACATCAACTTCTTTTGGGAGGATGTAATTCAACCAATAATAGTCTCACTTCTTTATAACTTCATACTCTACTTTCAGTGAAGCATAAAGAAAGCTCAACAAGAAACTGAGATGAGACTCAGGGCTGGGAATATAGCTCAGTTGGTAGAGTGCCTGTCTGCCTTGCATGCACAAGGTCCTGGATTCAATCCCTAGCACCAAAAAAAAAAAAAAAGAAAGAAAGAAAAGAAACTGAGATGAGACTCAAGCTGTGAAATAAGCCCAGGCATCTGTGATAAACTCCCAGTAATACCCTCCAAACCATGCACCCTAGGCCTTCTTCTGCCTCAATACAGAACTGTGTCCCCACGGCTTCAGTAACCCGAACTTTTTTTTTTCCCTTTAATTTGCACCAAGTCACTTTTCAAGCTGGCTCAAGTCCCATGAGGTCAATATCTGATTTATTCATGGACATTAGCTATACTGAACACAAATCTTTTTTTCCCATTCAATTATTTTTTTTACTTGTATTTATATATAAATTATATAGTTTGTTTGATTTTAAAAATATGTTCAGCCTTTCTTTTAGCAGAAATAGCCCTACTGTCATCATTTTTATGATCAATTCAAGATTTATTTTCTGTAAAATTTCAAGGTTCAGGGGAAGGAAGCATACCAAACTGGTACCATATGCCAGAGGAACTGAGGTCCAGGTAGGTGAAGTGGCTTGGCTTCCTGCCTTGCCTTCCTTTCTGGTTTCAAAAGCATCTCACAGTCTCAAACATATGGAAATCCTGAAGAAATAATTGTCACTATTTTCTCACAGCACCTGACTGCAGAATAAAAGTGGAGGTCTGGACTTGCCTATTATTTACAAAATTTTAAATACATTTCGCTAGTAATTTGTAATTACAACAGAAAATTTTACCACAGTGAAAACCTCCTCTACCAGTGGCATGCTTGAGTGCTGAAGCATTTGGATCACTTTCAAATCTAGTCATTGTCCATTAAATTCTTTGGACAACAGTAGCCCAGGCTCAGCTTTCTAATTCTGGACTTTGGCAAACATGGATGGTATCTCGGTTGTTCACTGGAGATGGGAATGCCAGCTTTGGAGAGACCAGCCTGGACAGCATCTGCCACTCCATTTTAGGCTGATTCCGTGCTTGGTCTTCCCATGGATTTATTTGCCTGCGCATCTTTGCCAAACCAGTAGGGTAAATCTGAATGGAGCTGGAGACCAGGTTTCTCTGCCCACAATCTCTCCAGAGAGCTAAAAGGTACAGAACTCCGAGATAATGATCTGCTGATTTAGCAAGGTCAGTGGCTAATGTGTAATTCCAGGTCATGATTATCCTGAGGACTGGACAATGTCTGTAAAAAATTGCCCAATATAAATCAAAAAGCAGTCACAGTATATCAGAGTCAGCCGTAGGGACAGATTTAAGGGTGGATTAATGATTTTTGTGAGTACAGATTGCTTTGCTAAATAAAGTCTGAGCATGTCCCTCTCATATTTTCAGATCAAATAGAGAATTTTTACACTACTCTTTTCTTCTTTATCTATAGAGATGGTTGATAGCCTCACAGAAGAGCCTTGTGCTCATTAACTCATATGTTCATATAAATATTGAAATAGAGTATTCCCAGATGGTTAAATCAGAAACCCAGGAGCTCCAGTGGATGGTGGATGGGGATGCAGAAAAGCAAGTAAAAATGAACATCTGAGAGATGTGTGAAATGTCCTTAGGAAGGGGTAAGCCAGGAGCTCCATTTTGTATCTGATCTGCAGCATAAAGAAGCAGGGGCTATGAGGAGCTCTCCAGGGCCATTGTTGGCTATTAGCAGCATCAAATCCTGTATGCAGCAGAGGTCCCTGACCACAGCCCATGGTCTAGGGCTTGCATGTTGGTAGGTGGTGGAGACACCACAGTGACAATGTCACAATAGTATCTTCCACTGCCAGGCCACTTCTACATTGTGACTTTGGGTAGTCTCATAAAAGACAAGTTTCTAAGCATGGTTCTCCAGCTTTCCTGGTAATGTTGGATGAGCCACCCCAATCCTTTAAATAAATCCCTTTCCTGCTTAAATCAGCCAGAGTCAGTTTCTGTTACTTGGAACTAAGACCCTAACTAATTTGGGTATTCTGGTATGGAAACAAGAATTTGAACCAAAGCAGCTGGATTACAGAGCCCCTACTTTCAAACTCTATAGGTATAACCTGTACAAACTCTATAGGTACACTGTCAAACCCTATAGGGCCAGCCACTACGATAGCCACCAGACTATAGGTGCCTTGCTGAGGGCAATCATATAGATTATTATCTAAAAGGAAACATTTTTTTGAGAATGAAAAGGTTTCTGTTAATAGTTATGTCAGGACTGTCCTTGGCAAACAGAATGTTCTCCTTACCTTTGTGACCTTCTGAAGCATTCTACCATTTTCCGTATGCTCTTGAGGTTAATGGGCTCTTCTGGGAATTATGTGTGTAGTTTAAGGCCCAGAAATAAAGGTCAGACTCTCTCAATTCAATTCAATTCCTCAAGTATGGGGGTCAGTTTTATGTGCAACTGGGCTGCGTTAAGGAATGTGGAAATAACTGGTAAAAATTGTTTCTAGGTGTGTCTGCGAGGTGCTTCTGGAAGAGAATTTGAATTAGTCTGGTAAAAACGATCTACCCTTATCAAAGTGCTTGGGCACCAGCCAATCCTTTGGGGGCCTGAACAGAACAGAAAGGTAGAGAAAGGGCAAATTTTTCTCCCTCTTCTTGAGCTAGGACATGCATCTTCTCCCACCTCAGACCTCAGAGCTTCTGGTTCTTGGGCCCTCAACTCTGGGATTTATGCCAGTGTGGGCCCCACCTCCTCATCTCTCTGGAGAACCATGACTAACACACCAAGATAAAGTAAAGTTAGTAATGACCATCCTGGGGCTGGGGTGGAAGCTCAGTAGTAGAACTCTTGCCTACAATGTGTGAGGCCCTGGGTTCAATCCCTAGTACCGCAAGAAAAAAAAAAAGAAAGAAAAGAGAAAATAAGTCCATTTTGTTTAGTGCTCATTTAATTTCTTTAGCAGCAAACATTAAAGTCCTTTTCAAAAAGTGGATTTTCCTAGAAAGATAATGTATATGTGCCCTTAAGTGCATTCATGGAACTGTTTTAGATTATGCTCACCAGAAATTGTATTCTTAATGAAAAAGCAAAGCAAAAGGAAAGCATTTCTTTCTTTTCAAGGAGACCATGATGGGAACAAACCAGGAATTGAATGGGCAAGCTGAGGATCCCCCTGGACAAGGTTTGTGGTACATGCGGGGACATTCTCTTAGCTGCTGGTGAACAGCCCCTTGAGAAGGGCTTTACATTTGTTGGAACAGATACTTGTGATAAGCTTATATCTGTGAAAGCTGCGGGGGTGGTCAGGCCACAGGAGACACTGGGTAAATTGCCTCCCAAGAGGCTTTCTGTCCCCAGGTCTCTGTTTGGTTAAGCATCTTGGAGAGTTTGGGCCTAGAGACAGGAGCTATGCACAAATGGACCTGAAGTGAGAATTGAGCTCAAATCCTCTGCACAGAACAGGGAGTGGGGAATAAGACAGAGGGTAAAGGAGGGAGAAGACTTGGGGAGAAATCCTTCCCGTAACAAACAACCCTTTTAGAGCCCAATCCAGAGAGAGGTGCAGGAAAACGATATATATCTAATGTGCTGCTTTGATTTGACTCCTTCATGGGACTCATAGAGGTTCAGTAAAGACAGGAAAATGCTTGGAGCACAAGGGTTCTTGTAATTGTGAAGAGTTTGTGTTTTTGCTTTAGGTCTACACGGACAGAGAGATAGTTCATACATTTGGGTGAAGGGGTCGCTAACTTGTGGACATCTTCTCTGATGAAATGGAGAAGAAACACTTTCTTTATTTTTTTCTTTTTTGGTACTGGGGATTGAACCCAGGAGTGTTTAACACTGAGCCACATCCCCAGCCCTTTTTATTTTTTTATTTTGAGACAGAGTTTCACTGAGTTTCTTAGGAGTCTTTGCTAAATTGCTGAGGCTGTAATCCTCCTGCCTCAGCCTCCAAAGTTGCTGGGATTACAGGTGTGTACCTGGCAAGTATGTGCTTATTTTGAGTCTGAGCATGGAGTCAGGAGAGGCAAGGAGGAAGGATATGTCAGTGACTAAGGAGACCATAGCTGTGGGAAAGCTGATATGGATTAAATAACATTGGCCATAATTTAGTCACATGTTTATTCTTACTGGCAAAGGAGACTGGGGAATGAAGTCTTTATTCCTGGCTGTTCAATGCTCACATAAACTGGGGACCCTCTAGGAGGGGAAATAGTACTTTCTGTCCTAACGGATGTGATTGGCCCATGGCCACATAGCAAAGTAGAGCAGAGTCAGGATTGAGGAGAACTCAGTTCCCTTAGGTTTCTTGTTGCCTGGTATCATTTTTACTCTAGTTTCTTTGTCCACTGGATAGCATATCATAAGTATCTCTACCATGGGCAGATGCCTCTCTGGTGACTCACTAGGTTTTCTTAGATTACCATTTTCCTTTCCCATGTGGGAGCCTTTCTGGCATTATTTGTGATGCTGTTTGTGAGTCCTCTTGCCATACTTAATGCCACACTGCAGAATATTCTCAAATCACAATAGATGAGAGATCTGGGGGCTCAGGATGGTCCCTTGGGCAACTAAGAAAGTGCAGAGAAAGCAAGGAGGCAAACAAGAATAGGTTGCAGTTCATGGAGATAATCAGAAGCTGCCCTTGGCACAGACTGAGATGAGACCCTTGAGGGTATGTAAGAGGGTGAAATATGTGAATAATAAAGGAAGTCGCACTGCTTGGGTGATCTCTTGTGTAATATATTTTCAGAAGGTGAAAAAATTTATGATTACTATGTTGTTGTTGTGCATAGCTCAAGATTAAAGATGGGAGCTGTATCATTTAAACAGCATGGTAACCATGGCTTCCAATTTTTTTCTTTGCTCACTATTGTGAACTAGCAAGTAAAATTGAGGTATCAACATTTGCAGAAAATTTACATTCATTCTACTTAACACCATCTCTGAAATTCGAAGTAATAATTTAAAACTAATAACTTCTTAGCCCTGGTATAAGACCATTTTGTGTCACAATAAAAAGAATATACATAGAATATTGCCCTACATGGTTCATCTCATTCATTCTGAGAATTATAAGTAAATGTTTAAGTTTAGCTTTGTGTGCCTTTCTATAGGAATAAGAAGTATGAGGCCAACTCTTGACTCTAGTGTGAAATTTATTTTGCTGGTTGACTGCTCCCAAGGTGGTAAGGCAAAGGAATTAGTCAGGGTTTAATTAAGGAAGTGGAAGTACTAGGAGGGCTATAGAGAAAAAAAATTATTATACAGTTATGGGAGAAGCTGGGGATGTAAGGGTCTGAAAGAAGGATTTAGAAGATCAGAGAAGAGTTGCTAATATACCCCCATTGTAGATAATTTGGAACTTGCAGGGGAATCTGAGAAACCAGATACACCCAGTTGCCAGAGTAGGACCATAAGGAAAGCTGTTTGAGAGTTGTTATTTCTATATAATATTGCTTCTGTAGGTCTGTGGCCAAGAATCTGGCCATGAGCCATGTGATGCTGCTGGTCAGTAGTTTGGGCAGTTGGGGAAAGTTGAACACATAGCAGAAAACAATGACGATATGCTTGGAAGATGTTGACACCTCTCTGTCACCTTTAGAGAATAATGGCTACTTGACACCTACCTTATCTACCTTCCAAACTTCCAAATCTTGTACAAATTCCTCTTTTTGCCAACTCTATCTCAGAACCATAAGGGAGTTCTGACAAACATAGTTCCAGTTAAACCAAGTTGATGCAATACACATTTCCACAGTCAAATAGCAAAAAAAAAAAAAAAAAAAGGAAAAAAAATCAAAGGTGGTACATTTAAGCAAATTCTAATATGAATGAGTCCACAGATGACCTGGTACATATATTCACAAGTGCAAAAAAGAGAAAGTCATAAGAAAACTAAAACATTTGTAAAACAAACTAAAACATTTGTAAAACTTATAGTTTATAAGTATGGAATAGCTGTATGATTTTGCCCTTAAAGTCCCTAAATATAGAATTTTGATCTTGAGTAGCTACAAGGGAAAAATGTCTGGGAGAATTAGTCAAACATTGAACACTTTCCTGAATTTGACAGAATATCAAGAAAAGAGGACTCCTATCTGTGGATCAGAGAGTATCCCACACCATTTACAAAGGCGATTTATCCAAGAAACAATTTCACTAATTGTTTCACACTTGGTGCTTATTAATGTTCATTACAGATTATTTCCCTTAGCTCCATTATAGTTTAATCTCAGCTGTTTTATGACATATTAACAATATGGCAGACCACCAAAGGAAGGCTAGTCACAGATTTCATGTTATGCAAAAAAATAATTTGGCCATTAAATTGGATGGATTAGAAAACTGGAGCAGGATTTTATTCTAGCCAGAAGAGTCTAAGGGGCTGTGGAATCTAAAGTATGGACAGCTTTGTCCTCTTTACAAAGTACAGGCCTCAGGGGAGCATTAGGTTGAGAGCTCCAGATACAAAGGCTCTTTAGTTTTGATTTTCAGGGAATTCATGTAGCTTTAGAGAGTATATGGAAGACTTTCAGTTGCACCACTATATCTGCTCCCTCCTGGCTCAGAGTAGATTGGGAGGCCCTGAGAGGCGGTGTCTCTTCCTCTACAAACTTCCATTAGCTATGCTCAGGGCCAGCCAGGAGGACCACTCCTTCAGCTCTATTTTCCCTTTTTAGACACTCCCTTCTCTGGTGTTTGGTGTCCTTCATTAAGTTTCAGTTGCCCAAGGTCACTCAGTGTTGTTTATTCCTTAGACCAGTTTTGATTGGCCAATACTTGGTGCTTCATACTTTCCATTTTCTCTGCTCCCATATAAATGATTCTTTCTAGTGTCCCTCTGAGACCTTCCTTCAGCTAATAGTGCAACACTGCTAATGGGTACAAAAGTACTCTGTCAGCGAGAGCTTCTTTAATGGTGGCAGTTGGGTGTGTTTGGTTTCCCAGATTTCTCTGCAGGCTCCAAATTGGGCATTCTGATAGGAAGATAATTTGGGGAAGCCTTTGGTAGTTTCCATTGGCCACCTACTCCACCTACATGTACAGTAAATCACAGACATAAATGACTGGTTAATTATTAATGAGATTGATGGTTACAGATTGCTCAAACTCAAAGATCATGAATGTTTTTGCACATATTAAGTACTTAATAAATACTTGTCAGCTGAAGTAAACTTTGAATAGTCTTTGTCTAAGGATTTTATCCTCTAAGTTACAGAGACGGGTGTGTACCAGTATTCCAGGAGAGAGGGAACAGAAGCTACAGAAGAAGAGGTGATTATGGAAGGCAAGGCTGGGCATGTGACCAAATCAGCAGAACCTATAGCAAAGATATCTAAAGCCCTAGGCCAGGTTTGTCAGCATATCTGAGCTATAGCAAGCTTTGGAAAATAGGCAAGTCATTGTTGGGGTCTATCATGGGAAAGCATGGAGAAAACCCAAGTGCAGACATGTCACACCAAACAACTGACAGAGACCAACTCAGTCAGTGCCCAGAAGGGGTTCAGACCATTCACAGGAGTACAACTTGTTTTGGAGGGTTTTGAATTTCTCAAACTCTTTCCATAGGTCTTGCCAAGGTCTCAGTCCTTCAAGATTCAGAATCTGCTACTCATGTCCTAAGAAGCATAGGGGACTTTTCAGTGTTTACTGCTGATAGGGCATATTTGGTGATTGGCATGGGCCACTTCATTTTGAATACTTTCTTCCTTTTTCACTAAACTTTCCAGAGAGGGCAGGGACTAAGTTTGGTACCATAGGGTCAGCTCAGGGTTTCATGCACAGTAGGAAGTAAATGGTGGTTACAGTCTTTGATTGTTTGATCCCATGGTGTAGTAAGGCAAGACATAGATTTGGAGTGGTCAGCTTTAACTTTGGTCCCCACACAACCACTCTGGTCCTCACTTTCCTCTTTTATAAGGGAGAGGCCTGATGATTCTGCCTATATCCCAAGATCCTTGAGAAGGTCAAATCAGATCATGCTTATAAAAGTACTTGGTCTACATATGGGCATATCTATAACTAGATGGATAATGTTTTTTATTCACTAAGCTATCTTTAAATACTTGTCCAAAAATAAGTTTCTAATAAGTTTGCTTGGCCCAAAAGTTGAGATTCCAAAGTCTCCACAGATTCCTGGGTTTTAAGGAAGGGAGTAGAAATATTCTGCTTAAT